GCGATAGATGAAGCTTTTGTCCTTGGGTATTCATGTCCCAGGAGAAATTTGATAGTCAGCCTGTCTCCGAGGCTGTCGGGAGTCAGAATTAGATAAGCTTGATTTTTGTTTTTTCTTCAGCCTTGAGTCCATCTGGGCGTTCTGTTTCCGAAAATGCCCAATTGTGGGATTCCATTCCACTGATCCATGCTATGAGTCTCCTTCAAGGTCAAACCCACCATGCTGATGAGTCCCAGAAGCTGCAGGTGGTCTGCGATTCTCTATCGCCTCCACTTCACGGTTAAGCTTGTAAACCAGACAATTTAAAGTTCCCACAGCGAGGACCAGACCTTCACACTGACTCGGAAGCTTTTCCATGGCCAAAACTGCTGCCGATATCTTTTTCAAAAGTCGATAAAACAGAGTCCTGCTGATGCCAAAAAGCACAGTCCCTACTATCATAATTCCAAATATGTAAACGTCTTCAACATCCTCCTGAGACAGAACTGTGATGCACATCAACTGCCACACTCCCCACGAATCCATGACGTACCCCACAGCGTGAGTCTCAGCTATACACAACAGTTCTCTAGGACCTTGTCGTTTTGATGAAAAAAATCTTATCAATAGAGTTGAACACCCACAATACCAAATCCATAATCTTCCTAATTTATGTTCGGGAGATGAGACCCAGGCACTTCAGACACACAGAGAGCAGAGCAGGAAGAAGGAAAAAATGGTAGAGGAGGAGCAGAAGCTGCCACCTCGATGAGAGCCTGGGAGGAAAGTGGGAAAGGAAAATGGGATGAGGTCACTAGGCTTTCTATCGCCACCAAGGGGCTGTGGGCCAAGTATGCTCTGATGCTGAGCGAAGGGGTGTTGCAGCATGCCTGGAAGGATCCTGCCACAGGGGAGGAGAGGTGGCAGATTGTGGTGCCGAGATCACTGAGGTCAACTGGGCTGGGAGCCTGTAATGGAGGCACGGGCTCTGGTCAGTTCGGTGTCACCAAGACCCTGCACTGCCTCCGCCAAGGCTACTACTGGGGTCAGTAACGGAGGGATGTGGAGGACTTCTGACGCAGCTACGACTCCTGTTCCTCGCACAAGGGGCCACTGGACCAGTCTCATGTCCAGTTCCAACGGGAGCACCAATGGGTTAGGGTTATATATTTTATATATATATATATATATATTATATATATGTATATCCATCCATCCATTATCTTTTACCCGCTTCTTCCATTTTGGGTCACAGGGGTCGCCGGTAACCATGTCTGGCAATTGTGCAAGGGGTGGGTACACCCTGGAAAGGTCGCAAGTCCATCACAGTGCCACATAGAGACAAACAACCATTCACTCTCTCACTCACACCTAGGGACAATTTAGAGTTACCAATCAGTCTAACATGCATGTTTTTGGTCTGTGGGAGGAAAATGGAGTACCTGGAGAAAACACACACATGCACAAAGAGAACATACAAACTCCACCCAGAAAGTACCCTGGACCGGGATTTGAACCAGGAACCTGCATGATGAGAGGCAGTAGCTCTACCATTTGTGCCACCATGCTGCATATAT